CTTCTGCGGTAATAATTGTCTCCAATTTATTGCAAATGAAATTCAAATGAGTTTTCAATTCATTGAGACATTTGTTTGCAAACAATAACTCATTTAAAAGTCTATTGTTTTCATGCCTTAAATCATCCAAAATATCATTAATACTAATCATAACTGACTTCTGGTTTCCCTTTAAACTCATCTCTCATTCAAAACAACATTTAATTCACAATTAAATCACAATTTAAACCAAAACTCAATTCAAATCAGAGTTGAAGTGAAAAATTATTTTCAAATAAAACATAAACAAAAAATTTATTATTTGTCCATAAATTACATTCACTTAAGCATTATTAAAGTCTAACTACTATTTAACTAAATTTACCTTATAATTTAACAATTTAATATTTAGTCTCACAATTTAAATAACGTACAATACTTTTAGTGTTGCATTAAATTAAAAGTTTTATTCAATTTATAATACATACGATTAAATTAAAACTAATTATATCACAACGAAATCACTTTTGATGTACTTTCATATGTTTCTTAAGATTAGCGCCAATAACACACCGATAGCCACATCCGGGCCAATGACACACATAGTTCTTCGTATTTGAGTGGATCCGCTCGTGATCTGTGCGACCCTTTACTATACGAAACCGTTTACCACACGCCGGCCACCGGCACTCGAAGGGTCGCTCACCCGTATGGATACGGCGGTGATTTTTAATTGAACCCGAGCGGTCAGTCCGATAGCCACATGCGGGCCATTCACAGGAGTACATTATTTGGTGCGCGTTGTGGACCACTATCCTATGCCTCTGGAGTTGGAATGAATTCCTGAAGAATTGATTGCATCCCTCGTAACGACATTTAAAATTGTCTTCATTTAAATGAAGTTTTAAATGAAAGTTAAGTCTGTATTGAGTTTTGAATGTTTTCTCGCATTCATTGCATTTGAATGAATGGATGTCTGAATGAATCACTGAATGGGAATTGAGTTGTGCTTCAGATTTACACTTAAAATCGCAGCCCTTTTCCGAGCACTCAAAGGGACGGTAATCGCTGTGAACTTGTCTTAAATGGTATTTGAGTTCACTCTTTAACCGAAAAAGTCGATCACAATTTAATTCTTGACAAACAATTGTCTTCTTCATGTGATGGGAGAGATGGAAGTGATGGTAAAGCCTACGCGAAGAAACAAACCCTTTACGGCAGTGAGGGTTAGGACACATAAACTGCTGTGTCTTCGGGTCGTAATTATCTCTTCGTAATAATAGGAGTGAATTGGGATCCGATTCGGGATCAGGTATTGCATACACTTTGGGCTCAGGTTTGGGTTTCGGGACATGATTTGGATCTCTTGATGTCTTCAGTACAGATGTATAGACTTTGCGATCAGTTCTTCCACTTCTTCTAACGTTTGTCTCAATTATTTTTTTATTTGTTTTGATTGTCTTTTCCTCTGAAGAAGTGGTAATCGTTTCATCACTTCTTCGCACAACTGATGGACTCTTTATTTCAATTGTATTCTCGACAACAGGTTTGACAACAATTTCATTACTTCTTGGGATCTGCTCTTCGAGTGATGTCTTGTCCGTGAATTGACTCAATGTTTGGATCAAATGATTGAAGAGTTGTTTGTCTTCTGCGGTAATAATTGTCTCCAATTTATTGCAAATGAAATTCAAATGAGTTTTCAATTCATTGAGACATTTGTTTGCAAACAATAACTCATTTAAAAGTCTATTGTTTTCATGCCTTAAATCATCCAAAATATCATTAATACTAATCATAACTGACTTCTGG